ATTTTCGGCGGCAAATCCGAGCACATTACTTTTAAATTAATATATTATGTGTATTATGATTATTATATATATTTAATATTTTGTTTTGTGTCATAATCAAACTAATTAATAAAAGTCAATTTTCATGATTTTTTGTTTCAATATACCCGACCGACCATCTTCTCGAAACAGGTATGAGCTGCCCCCTCCTAGCTGAAATCCTGGGTACGCCCTTGGCCAGTGTTACTAATAAAGTAAATTAATAATTTAGTGAATTTGTTACCGATACATGGTTGTTATTTATTGTCAAAATGAATCAAATTACTGAATTAAATGTTTAAATATATTATATTTTATCTCCCAAAGTTAATTTTATTATGAAAATGTTGGCTACTTTTCTGACATAAAAACTCTATGCTATTGCTAAGATTTAAAAAAGTATCGTTTGTTTTAAGACGGAACGTAATAAGCCGTACGTTTCACTTTACATTACCGCACGCGTGTGTAATGTGATAGATTATCGTCGGTGATATTCTGAAACCGCGGAACTAACAGTGTTTAAAACCGCGTAAGGTAGGTGCAGTGAATTTTACAGGAACGAAGAAAAACATAATATTTACTGAATCACATGACTTTCTATTGTTTAAACATTTAAATTGTCAAATTATAATATTCTTCTTGGTATTGTAGGCATTAGTTATGTTAAATATGTATTAATTAATTAGTAAATCGACTTTCGCGGTTTTATTATCTCAAATAAAATCAAAATGAGTTTTTTATGTCACTTAAGCGGAATTGTCCGCCGAAATAAAACAAAAGAATACAATCAACATCCTATAATTATTTATTAAGTCAACTTCAGAGTTTAATTTTTGGCACATATTTATCACCGGTACATTAGGTAATCAACAATATACAGGAAATTAACACCATAAATCCCCATAATGTTAAAAAAAATAGCTCATTATAGCTAAGTGTGTTAAACATACCTTGTCGAGAGGGTACTTACTAATTAACAGTTAAAACTAAAAATGAAGAACAAAACGTATATAAATATTACTTCTGAGTAGAATAATAATTGCACATTGAGGTCTTTGTTAAAAATGAGATCAATAAAACATTACTTTTTCTTAAATGGCAAATTATCGTAAAATAAGTGTCAATCTGCAGGTATCACACTCTTTAATAGCTGTAAGTGCTGATACTTACTGTCTAATATAGGCAGTCTAGATGAATACAGGGGAGGTACATTATAACTACAGCTGAAATAGGTTTTGGTCTCCGAGGAAGTGGGCTGAAATCATCTTTAAAGTGTTTTTTAAACTCTATTGTGCCGTTAGGATTATACTTTAAAACCCTCAGATCCACTACGCAATCATCTCCAGCAGAACGCCCAGGACGAAAGGAATCATAAATTTGGTATTCTTTTAGACTGTAGTCTTTAAAAAGGTGTAATCTGGTTGAAAAACCTGGTATGGAGAAGGGTGCTTCCTGGCTTCTTTTGTAATTGAGGCATACTGAGAAGAAAGAAAAATTTCAACATTTTTCAGCTTTCTTTCCACAACGGAGTGTACGGAGGCAACCTCCATTTAAGTGTGACCTTTTTCCAGATACTTTTCTGTAATTGTTGTATTTTTGTCTACTGCTAATCTTATAAGGGCATTAGAAACTATTGAGTTTCTGTTCTGTGCAGTGCAGTCATCCGTCCAGATGACAACATCCCTGCAATCTTCTTCTAATAACTTAGTCAAATAATCAATGATGAATGATGCGTAAGTGGTAGCTCTTATATCACAGGCGGTTCCGTCGAACCAGTAGCGAGTTACATGCATACGCGGTTTGGGCACAATAAACAATCACCTGACGTTACGCGGATTAAAAGACATTCGATTCCACGGCTTCCTATTGAATAATAGGCCCAGCCATCACAGAACGCAGCCAATCACTACAACGAAGCTAAGCCCGCGAAATCTCGATTTTGCTAGTTTTGTTAATACGCGGTTTTAAACACTGTTAGTTCCGCGGTTTCAGAATATCACCGACGTTATGATATTGAAATTGGTGCAATAAGAGAAACTTTACGAGCAAATGTGTTTTAAAATAATATTTACAATGAACGAACTCCCTGACCCATGGGGATCCGTTTCTAATACAGAACAATTTGCGGTTCCCTCGGTCGCTATAACGTTACTATTATGAGTCAAGATGACTAGAGTGTAGATACTTACCAAACAGTCAATACTTTTTGTAGATTGGACTGCTCCGCCGACTAGGAAAAGGAGTAAATCTGTTAAAATATACAAAACTTGTAATAAGAAAATGCGGAAAAACAAATTGGCGGGAAAGAATGTAGGATGTCTCGGTGTAGATTCTGAAAGTTCTATCGAGTCTGCAATTACTAATAGTAAACAAACGACCCCTCATACTGTACCCCTATTATAAGCGAATAAAATTTTAAATCAGCCACAACCTGATGCGAGTAGTCCTGTGAATAGTCGTAAATTTTATGACAAAAATGATTTTCCACCATTCATTGTGCATGTACAGCGTGAGCAGACAACTTTTAATGACTTCTCCACAATACAACCCGTGAATTTTGGTTACTTTCTTAAAAAACATAACTTTCAATCCATAGTGATGGCAGCGTTAATTAGAGAAACTAAACCCAAGGACTAAAATGCATGAAAATAAAGCCCTTTTTTGTGACGCAGGCAAAACCTCTATTTACAGACGACGTCGGCGCCTATAAGAGGCACGCCGCCGAACAGACCTCACACTTGGCTCCCGAAGCTTTACGGGCCTGTAACTCTTACAGGCGTTTTACGGCATAATATCCGCTAAAAACTAAAAACCCTGCGAATACCCTCTAAACGGCTTAGTGCGCAGCCGCGGGATCCCCGTTTAGGGATTCTTCCGCGTTAATAAAAATAAAGCCCTGCACAACTCCTTAAAAAGTAGTAGCAATAAAAAAAAACGACGGGTTGCATTCTGGGAGTACCGGCAGAAGTGAAAACTTGAATCTTAACGTTGTGCATTTTTGATATTTTGGAATGGTTAGGGAATAATTTTGCACGAATTTCCTTAATTATCAGTATAAAAGTACTATCATTTATGTGGTAGAATACAATATTTATTTATTGCGCTATCGTACACAAACATGACAATTTATATTACATTAAAAAGTTTATCTCTCAGAATTTCTCATTTAAGTGCACATAGCGACAACTATTGTAAAAAAAATGCATTTTCTTCGCAATACCTGGACGTCCTAGATACAGACTTATTATAATAATACGATAAAATAAAATATTACTATGATTCGTCCAATATATTAAAAGTCAACAACGTTTCCAATTTTATTGTTTTCGTCTTACGAATTTTCGATTGTCAGGTGTCCGGATGCGATCAGGCCACGTGTCATATGACGCGGGTTTAACAGTTTTTACTAGACTTGCAACGAATATTCGGTTACTATTCGGTATTCGGCCTATTCAGCTGTTTTTATTATATTCGACCGAATTCCGAATATCTACATATTATTCGGCCGAATACCGAATACTTAAATAATATATTTTGTCATAGAGAAATAATTGGTAAAGTGAAAATTAAAATCGATTGAAACGTATATTATATAATCATTTAAGTAGTCTATGACACACAGGTACATAATCATCTTCTGAATTGGAAAAATGGAGGATTCTAAATATTTGAATTATTGTGGTAATCAAAATTTAGAAGGGTAAGGTTCTCATTTCTTTTATAATCATTTATTAAGTAGTCATTGGTACATAAAACAGGTACACAATTTAATCATTTTATGTATTAAACAAGTTAACAGTTTTTAATTCATTCAGTCATGTGATGAATGGTTACATAATAGCAATAATTTAAAGTTTACGCGCCGTTTTTAGCCATATCTCAAAAGTTGGTTTTGTCATTGAGCCGCATTTTAGCTTGAGGACGGCAGATTAGAACAAAACAAAGGAGCGCGAAACAATCATGTCTGTACAAGTTTTTGGCGCTAAAATCCAGCCGAATACTTTTGCCTAATATTCGGCTATTCGGTCAGGGGCCTCGCCGAATATTCGGTATACTGCCGAATACACTATTCGTTGCACGTCTAGTTTTTACCCATTACAAAAAAAGTGTATAACGCCGCTAAAGAAGTTTTCACTTCATAAATTGAGCAATCATAAAATTAATAATTTCTCGTCATATTGAATTCAGTTTGGTTAGATCAGCTTCATTGTTTATGCGGATAAAACTTTGATAAGCGTACCGCCTTTTGATTTGCGAACATAATATTTTGTCATAGGAAGTCCAACAAAAGCGATAATTATTTGCAGACGTAAATTTTAATACAACGCAGTCTTCTAGCTCTCGCAGTTAATCTCTCCGATATGAAGATCATCATCATCATCAGCCTATTAATGTCCCCACTGCTGGGGCACAGGCCTTCCCTATAGATGGAATAGGGAGATTGGGCCATGACCCACCACGCGGGCCCAGTGCGGATTGGTGGGTGCTAACGACTGCAGATGCAGTCGGGACCAACGGCTTAACGTGCCTTCCGAAGCACGGAGGAGCTCGAGATAGTAATTTTTGGTTACCCATCCAATGACCGACCACTGCGAAAGTTGCTTAAGTTCAACGATCGCAGCCGAACGCGCTAACCACTTGCGCCATCGAGATATGAAGATAGGTGTGTCTTATTCTTCTTTTCGCGATTGAACAATCTTATCGACTTCAGTATTTCTTCTATCAGATTGATTGTTGAAAGTCACTGTCGCGTTGGGGGGGGTTCATTATGCAATGGGTAATGCCTTTATATTCGCCAATCGACGCATTCCAGAAAATTAGTTTGATTTTACTAGCACCGGCACCGGCATATTAATAAAAAATATATTATGTTAAAAAACCGCTTTTGAGGATCACAAAATTGAAAAAAAAAAAAGGTAAGAATGCTGGAGTAAAGTGAATTGGAAATTACTCCAGCTATAAAATACAAAACAACCTCATCAGATATTTCTTAGTAATACTATTAAATAATAAATGATTGTATTTTACAATGAATACTTGTCCATAAAATTAAGTATTTTACTCATTAAGGGCTTCTTCAAGTCTTGTGCAAATATAAACTGGCAAGCATTTAAAGCTAATCGAGCTAGTTGGGTTTGATCCAAATCAAATGTTTCTGCGCATATTCTGTATTCTTGAGACAAAGATGTCGCGAATACACCTTTATCGTCAGTCTGAAATAAAATTAATAAAAAATATAAGTACCAGTACCCTTACCACGAACCAATATCGAATTCGTATCGTCAGCGAGTACGAAATGTCATTGTCAAATGTGTATTGATTTTTTGTTCTCGTTACGTGCTTTGTGGCGCTGCTGTTAAAGTTTCCATACAAATTTTGACATTGACATTTCGCACTCGCAAACTACTCGAATTCGATAATGGTTCGTGCTAGGGGTACAGATGTGTTATTTTACCTAAAAAATTACCCTCTTTTGTTTGTCGTTGTAATGAAGAAGATTCCATTTTTTTTATATATCAATTGTAAAAATTAAAGAAAAGGGAAACAAAAAGGACATTGTTCAGAGTCCATACATAGTTAGCCTAAGAACCAACAATCATGAAATATTATTTTCTAGGTTCAAAATCGTAAGTAAATGACTGTAAAAACAAAGATTTTTGACGGACACTTCTGAGAACTTAAATTATTAGGAAAACTAAAATTTTTTTGAGGTTATGTTTAATATTTAATGAAACATAGGTCAACCTATTACAACTAATTCATTTTATTCGGTGCGATTTTAAAGAATAACTATTAGGAAAAACTTGGTAAGGTAGGAATCATGAATAAAATAAAAACTGTAGTTTTGCTTCTTATTTATTGACTATTTTTCACACAATTGTATCATATTGTTTATTGTATTTATTTGTATATCACATGTATATTGTGTAAATATGCAGCGTGAATGTGTATCAGGTGTTCTTGAATAATTTGGCAGTATGATCCTCTCAGGATGTTGTGGCACAGGTTCACTAGCACTTGGTAATAAGGGCTCTGCTCTTTGGTAACATCGATGGCATATTAGATAGCCGAAATGGGGAAAAACAATCGCAAATAAATACACACAACAAGTAATCCGAAACGAGAATGCACTTTCCGGTATTTAAACTACTCTTTGGAATGCACGAATGCCACAGATTACTACGAATGCAAACTGCATGCACCACAACCACAGAGTATCAAGTTTTATGCCGGCCCTTCACTTGACAACAATTTGTCCTTGTCATGCTTAATAAGGAATGAAAAGGACAGACTGATGTCATGTTTTAAAATAGCAAATACGAATAGCCAAGTGAAGTGCCGGCATTAGGAAGAAAGAGTGTTTTGTTTGCAGCCCTGCCATAGATTATACACATAAAATGGTATTTATTGTCTCAGATTATTTTTTAACTTTTTAATGTAGCTTACTTAACTGGAAGTGTCCGTCACAATCTAAATACTGATAATTATCGCAAAAAATATACTAAGAATTATCATAAATGCCAAATTGGTGTTGGTTCTTAGGCCAATTTTAACATTGTCCTTTGAAAGAATCATTAAAATATTTCTACAAATGGAAGTCATGGGACTTTAAAATAGCGCCTGTAACAATAATTTCGTTTCATGCGGCAGGCCAGCGTGTGACTTCACTTCATAAAATATAAGAATACTTCTTCCCTTGCGTAACTAAGTACATATATAATAATATTCTATATTAAAGTAGGATATTGGTGTCGATTCTGGCGTGATCCCTGTCATTTTCTATTCAGAATGATGAGAAAAATGTTATATTTAGATAATCATGCCCGAATCGACACCAATATGAATTTAAGTAGCATAGAATCTAAGCGGGATCGAATAGGTCGTCACGTCGCGTCGCGTCACCGCGTTAGAAGCTAAATTTTATACTAAGAATACTCTTTCTCGTAAAAACTTCTTATCTAAATGCAAAGATAAAGTTTTGATTTTTCATGCTCATTTTTATTTTGGGGGAGACAACTGAGATTTCTGTTTGGGACTTAAGTATATATTTTTACAATAATTCAGTGTAATAGTCTAATATGAAATAAACATTAGTTATTTTATCCAATTAATTATAATGTAATCATAATACTTATTACAGCCACACCAGAGTGGACGCCACGTTATTTATCGCAAATGAAGCTAGCTTGAAGGTGTCCGTGATGTTAGCGTACACACGATCAATATACTTACTGCGTAAATAGTGCCAAATTAATGAAAAAATAAAAAAAATAGTGCCTCTTTAATTTAAGAAATAAAGACCATTTTTACCAGCGGTGCTGGCTGGTCAAATGCCATGTAGTTTTAAAGATCTTAAGGGCATGAGCTAAACGTGGCGCGAATTACATACTATTCTCTTCGATCAACAATACTAGAATTGTTGATCGAACATACTCTAAAAAAAATGCTTAACGTATTTTACAATAGTGCTTTTTTGGGTGTGTATGCTGTTGGTCGCAGATGACCTTTACAGCGTCACCGGGTTCAGCCGCTACCACCCTTGGCGATTGGTTCCGTAGATGGCGTATCTAGGTTAATCCGGAAAAAAGTGTCGCGATCTTCTTCAACACGACACCACCTCCCACGCGTTCTCTTCCGAGCATCCAACTATTTGACCGGGTCATCCCCTGGGAGGACCGGGTCAAGTACTTAGGAGTCACGTTTGATAACCGATTGACGTTTGCATCTCATCTCAAGAAAGTTCGAGATTGCGCAGCATTCATTCGCGGCAGGCTATTCCACCTCATAGAGAAACGCGTAATAAAATGTCACTAAAGGTAGGTACTATTCCGTGCATCGCGATTGATCGCGGCTGCGTGCAGCCTACGACTGTCGTCGGTCGCTCGCGACAATATTCAGAGTATGAAAATGTATGGCACCGCTTCCGAGGCCCACGACAGACGCGCGGATTTTTCAGCGGTGCCCATTTTATGCAGTAAATCTTTGGGTAAAACACAGTTATAGCAGCATTTACCACTTTTCCTGAGGGACTCTCTAATGCAGAGGATTGAGTTAAGAGTTATCAAACTCATTCGGTTTCGTTGCTTATTTTTAACTAAATTCATCTGAGAGAATAACCTTTCTACCTCTGCATTAGATTGTGGCAGTGAAAGGCAAGTTAAAGCCAGAGTACTTATATTCTGGTAAATGTTGTCACCGTTACAATTTCTAAAATTTTTTACTTCAACCCAAAATTGTACTATTTCTTGAGAATGCCACGTATTTAAATGTAGAATGTGCCACTGTTGTATTATTTTGTCTATAACTTCTGGTGTAAATCCCCAATTTTCAGCAACTTTGATGATAGTATCTAGTTTAATTGATTTTATTGCCTCTTCTGGACTTAGCAACGGCATTGATTCCAGCTGCTTGTAAGTCTGTGTGCTGTCTGGAAGTCTTTGTTGTAACTCCTTGAGTAATTGCAATGAGAAGGCGGAGCAGCGTTGTCGTACTGCATTTAAAATTTCTAAATCTAAATTTTGTTGTGATGTTGCAGTTTCAAACATGTTGCCAAGATAACGCCTAGGCCTAAATTAAACAAGCGAGAATTAATTTTATATGGATAGAACAAAAATAATTTAATATAAATTTTATATGGATAGAATACAAGTAGTGCGTAGCGTACTATTTTGGTCTACTAAATACCTAAGTATTCATTCTGTCATAGACATAGTTATAGGATGTGAATGGTCATAGCATAACGCAACAGAAAACGGGGAATTCCTGGCTAACGCTTACCAGTACATTCCATAGCATCCTAATGAATCTATGACCATAGAGTCACGTTCAGGATTTATTTTTTCTTTAAAGACTCGGTACCCAACGCTACGAATCTCGATAACCTCACGTCTAATGATGAAATGAAACGTTGCTAGGAAAAGTAGTTAAAATTTTTATTAAATTGTAGCTGTGTGACACCAAATAATCTATATTTATTATATTGTATCTAGCTATAAAGTTGCTAAGTTGGCATCAGTGCCAACGAATGTTGTGAGCCGCGCGCGGCCGTGCGTGTCTCGACATGCTCAGCGCAGCGGTCGCCGCTCGCTCAGTAACATCTTGGATTTCATGGCGCAAACATGTCTAGGAACGCAGGAGATAACTTTTCGGTCGAGGAAGACGATATATTAATAAATTTTGTGTCTCAAAACCCAATAATATATGATATGAGTAATGGAGATTACAAAAATTAACACGTCGACATCCTCCTTTTCTTCAAGAATTAGCACTTCGACCATGATTTTGACTTCGGTAGACACACGTCTATAAGAATCTGACGAACAACACCGACTAACTTTGAGACACGGCCGCGCGCGATTCACGAAATTCGTCGGCTGCGCGCGTCTGCCGCGGGCTTCGGAAGCGGTGCCATACATTTACATACTCTGACTATTGTCGCGAGCGACCGATGACAGTCGTAGGCCGGGCGCGGCTGCGATTGATCGCGATGCACGGAATAGTACCTTTAGGCATAAGTTGACAATTTACAAAACTTACATCCTGATAGGGCATCATGACCTGCGCGAATGTTTGCTTCGCCCACGTACCTCCATTGCGTCTTAAAACACTACAAACGCTACAAAATCGTGTTGCGCGGTGCCACGGGTTGCCCGTGGTACGTACGGAACATCGATTTGCATCGCAGTCTCAAGTTAGACTCCATAGCGAAGTATATGAAGGACATTTCGAAGCGTTACTTCGATAAAGCCGCTCATCATCTGACCCCTTAGTAGTTAAAGCGATTAGTTATCATACGTCCGCCCTCCCGTCCTCCAATCGTAGGTCCCTCCGATTCCGTCGGCCTAGGCACTTCTTAGAGTACCCTGAGGACGAAATCACCCGCGCAAACGCGCCTCCGACTTCTTCCACACAGGCCACAAACACCAACACTACACAGCTAGCATACTTGCACACTAGCTTAGCATTAAGCAGACACCGCACCCGTAGGATAAGAGTGCGAAGACCCGGTCTACACACGACACGCTGCATACTTGCACACCAGCTTAGCATTAAGCAGACACCGCACCCGTAGGATAAGAGTGCGAAGACCCGGTCTACACACGAGACGCTGTACTAGGTACAGGTACGTACCTGGGCGTTTTCCCCGTCCCCCACGGCAACGGCTAACTACAGCCGAGGTCAGAGTCTCAGAGACGCCCTCTAGTTGAACCAACCCCCACAGGTTCGAGTGATCTAGAGGCTCCAGACGGACAGGAGATGCCATCCGCCTGGAATACCTCTAGAGGCACTCGCCAATTCTCGGCTTGAGGTTCCCTTAGGATCTCGCCGTCCCCTATCCCCCAAACAAACTAATGCGTATATATAATAGAGTATTTGCGATAGGTGGTGAGTTCAGTATCTTATCTCTCATTCAGATCTAGCTAAAAATATAAGTTTTAATTTTGATAGATTTAACTTTTAGCATATACCTCGAAGTTGACATAGTAGTCTAAGAATATTTTATTTATCATACTCACACATAAAATAACAGGCAATTCGGCATTATATAATTCTTTAAAATGGTGCGATGCATAATCTGGTGCTGATTTTGTATTGACATTGCTTGTTAGGCATACTTCTGTAGAAATAAAGTAGAATGAAAGTAGTAAGTAGCTTTGTTGTAATGAATTACGAAAAAAAAACTTTTGTGTAAGTAATACATAAATCTTACCAACAGGTGTTTTGGTTTTAAATAATGAAGCCCATGTATTTTCCGTACCTCCATGATTTGGATGGATGCAAGTTCCATGACCAATCCTATCTGGCTTAAAATTCAACATGCAAATTATCTCCTCCGGATTACAAACTTCGCCACAGTGTAATGTAATCTAGAATAAAGATAAAATTAATGAAAAATACTTGCAATATAATATTTCTTTAAAATAAATTATTTTTACTGATGAAAGCAAAATTATATGATAAACAAATTGAAGTCACTTTCAATCCAGACTCCTTAGCTCTTGTAAAACAAGGTACAAAGTCTTCGAATTTTCCAACTGTCGGTTCACCACTTAGTTCCAACCCTACAACAACATCTGGATACTTCTTGTGATATTCAATAGCTAAATCCGTAATAATTTCAGCTTCAGATATAGGATGACTCCGATTTATAGATACTATGAGACGAGACATAATTGGCAAGTGAACTGAGACTTTTCTGAAAATAAAGTTAGTAGTGTCAGACTTTTTTTATTTCGATAAACTGTACATTTAATTTTTACGTATTCAACTGCTAGATGTATAAATTTCATCTTACGAAAAATAAGGATCATTGAGTGTACTACTAGTGTTTTATACTTTTAAGTTTAACATAAAAAGCTACATAGGTATTATAATAGCAAATGGACTTACTGCATACTTTGAGCAATAGTGTCAATGTATTGTTTCTTAGTCATATGTGGAGTATCACGAGGAGTACTCCTCAATTCGATATAACAACATCCATCATCATCAAATTCTTGAAGCGTCATCTTGGTTGCTATTTCCAATGTCTCTGGTGTACTTGTTAAAGCATGAGCAATGCCAAAGACTTGAAAACAGCTATAAATAAAATAAATACTTGAATGTAAGTGTAAATTTGAAAATAAAAAATCCTTTGGTGTAGCCATACTAGAACAGAATAAAGAGTAGAAGCAACTAGTATGTTAGTGTTTTATTAAGAGAACCAGTGCAACCAAAACTTACATATTACCGGCCGCAATAGGGAAGTTGCAATATTTTATTTTTGTTTTCATTTTAAAGAATTACATGAAGAATAAACCACAGATATATTAAAAAATTAAAACATTGTAGTTTATCGGAAAAAATGCGGTTTTAAATTGACAGTTTAAATTTTCGCGCGAACACGGACCTATGGTTCCGATGACGTCACTCCTGTCTGTCACTGGTCGTACTTGTTCGTCGCTGGCTTTCAATGTTCATACTTTTGCCTATATTTTCGACATTCGAGATATTTTTCTGTAAAATATTAAAATGGACTATCCATCAACATCAGGTGATCATAACAATACCACTAATATTCCGAAAAAAAGCCGTGTTGACTCATGTTTGTGCAATTGTGTCCATCAACTTCAACAAAATTTCCAAATAAATAGCTTTTGACTTTTGATTGAATTAATTTAATTGACCCAAAATTTAGAAAAAAAAGTGGTTTCAAGCTGTGAAGAAAAATGACAATTATTCTCCAAAGACCATTATTCGATGCTATGAAGATCACTTTGACGTAAGTCGGCGAATATACTTGTTATATGCTTAATTAATCTGCTTGCACGTAAAAACGCGTTGGTAACCTACCTAATACTTACAAAAACTGTCTATAACATATTTTTAATTTTACAGTTGGAGAATGACGTCGAAAATAGGATAAAGTTTAAAATGTGTGGCACACTCTACACATTGGCAGGACTGAACCAAGCTTTGCGTTTCATTAAAAATAACTGTAATACGATAACCTTCTTTACGTACTTTATGCTCCGGAGTAACTGTCCATTATTCTCCATCCCTTTTAATTTGGACATAGCCGATTACGTTATCACCGTAAGATTCTCTTGTTGAGCTGAAATAACTGCTATGTTTAGAAGCCGCTGAATAAAATATAAAGTTTAACAACTATGATTTATACATACCGTCTTAATTTAGTCCCTTTCATTACTACACTTGTAAACTCTGCACTTTGGAAAAAAAAAGTTACAACCATGTCAACACTAACTCTTGGTCAATTCCTGGAGTCTGCTTTTATAAACCCAACTTCCATTTTTATTAAAAAACACAATTAATATTCCCATAAAATAATATTCACTTTTACAACCATAGCCTCAAATAAGTTGTCATAACAGGAGTGACGTCACTAAACGCTGATTGGTGTTTTAAAATACGTCATACACATACACGTCATATATACATTTTAATCATAAAATTTTCATAAATATTATATTTGCATCTTCCCTATTAGAGACGTCAAGTAAATTTAATGTCTGATTTAGTCACGTGTTTATCGTGTATAGGCTATGGTCACAATCACAAGGTAAATTTAAGGAAGACAAAACTAGTTATGTTCACTAACAAAATAGCCTTTCCAAAAAGTATCCAGAATCTAAAGTACGATCATAGCCTCTAAACAAACTCCTTGCTCTATACTCAACTGGGGACACCTAGATAAGACCATCAAAAGGACTAGCATAATTTTCTGGCAATGCCGCAACATGATTGGTAAGGCATGGGAACTAATACCACACATTGTTCGGTAGCTATTATGATAAAATAGAAGGCCCATCATCGCAACAGATTTTAACCAAGACTATTCAGGTTACGACGATTAGCAAGGCGATTCTGTTGCGATTGCGCAAATGTTGCATGAAACCACCAGTATACCACTAGCAAGCACTAGCACTGGAGACCGCCTTTTAACCGTGATGTCACTGCTGCTGTCATGTTTGGAAAAGTATATCTATGGGGAAAAAATAAACATGGAACACCAGTGGGGCAAGAAAAGAAAAAATATTAATTTGTTTCTTAAAAACAGTGATGTTCACACAATTAATACAAGAAACAAAAATAAACTAACTTTACCTGCTACTAGGCTTCACAAAATTGATAATTCATTTAAAGGTCTTTGTGTTCGCTTATACAATAAAGTCCCAAGCAATATCCAAGAGTTAGCCATAAATAAATTTAAAGATGTTATAAAAAAAACACTTATTAAAAAAGCTTATTACAAAGTGTCTGATTATATTACAGACAAAAATGCTTGGGTTTGAACTGTTCCAATCATTCCAGCAGGTTTTCTATATTAAATAAATAATAATTGTATTGACGTTGTAACAACATCATGATTTGTAAATATTGTTACATTAGACTTTTAATGTTGTGGAGTTTTTTTCGCTCGTTTTTCTCCGCAGCTAAAAAATATGTCCATAACGAGTGGTAGGGAAAAAAATTTTTTGGACGATTCAAAAGAGTTGTACTATACATCCAATTTGAATAAAGATATATTGATTTCTGATTTCGTGGGACCACGGTTAAAGGAGCTGGATACAATACTTAATGTGGTGAAATCACTACACATATTTTATACAACTTATAGTACACAATACCGAAGAATCCGTTTATTATGACTCCGCCTATATTGACCAACCGCCTATTATGACGTAATTACACAACGAAGTTTGGTTTTCATATAAAATTCATTGCAACAATGTTGGATATACTGACTTCGCTTACAGTGACATGTCGCTTATTATGACCCATTTTTAATCAATTTTGTGCGTATATAGTGACCGACATGGTTCTTTACACCTACGGTAATGTTCGTTGATTCAAAAAATGTCATCTCAACGTCGTCAAGCATTTACGACTGAGGAAAAAGGTGCAATAATATGCTGATTAGAAAATGGAGAATCAAACTCATCTCACAATCTTTTTTCACAAAAATGCTTTGTATGACGTCCGCTTAGTATGACGTGTTTGTCGATTCCCTTCGAAGTCATAATAAACGGATTGTACTGTACTATGAATAGGGGTGGAAGGTTGATTACCTGAGACATAGGATCCACCCAAGTTTAGGGTCCTATTTCACCAAGCTGACATAATATGTCATAAAAATGACAGGCATTTGTTACAATTGTCCTTAATTTATTACTTTGATGTTGTGAACAAGGGCATTTTTTTAAGTCGACATATTCGACAGATTGTCGTTAATTCTTGACATGAGATCGGGGCTGTGTCAGATTTGCATTACAATTGTAATGATTTCCTTGATAGTTACAAAATGGCTTTTCGCGAAAGCATGAAAAGATGAGTAAGATACAGGAGAATTTATAAAGAACGAATAAAATGCTTTGATATCACTAATTTTAAGTTCAACGAAAAATTCCGCGTAAACAAACCAGTATCGAACATTTAATTAATAAAATCGGTGCAGTACACACGTACCGCTACCCTGTGAGCCCCAGCTTTTGGTACTCCACACGAAAAGATATCTACAAAATAAAAAATCGAAAGCAAAGTAAAAACTTTATTTATAAAAAATAGAAATCTTTCGAACAATTATTGCAAATCAAACATAAATTAGAAAGCTGTCCGTACGATGAAATTCTTCAGTCAAAAGTGACAAGGTGATTGAATATCAGCGTCCAGCAAGGAGGTGGCATGCATCTCGCCACTTCCCCACAACAAACCGTCGGCGTCGGCTTACATACATATATGTCAGTGACAGATGTCGACTAGGTAAAATAGGACTCAAGTGTCGACCCAGCATATCAGATTCCTCTAGTAGCAGTAGTCCGGTAGACTGTACTACTTGAAACTTTTCAGTTGCGTTCGGTTGTACACGGCACCCGGACTCTTGAGCCTCACCTGGTATCAGTAGTTCGGTGTTGGCGAGAAGCTGTTGTTTGGAACTATCCTTTAGTCCGGTCGAACGAAATGATGACTTTTTTTTAGATAACATTTAAGTTTATTTGAACAAAAAAAAACGGAAAAGTGCGAGTCGGACTCGCGCACCGAGGGTTCCGTACAAACCTGTAGGTATATTTTAATAATTATTAAATAATAATTTTTATTCAATATTCTTAGTTCTCGGGAAGTACCCTGTAGCTTTTGATTCCCATACGAGTTTCGAAAATTTGCGGCATAAACGGCTGTATCTTTTGATTGCTTTGGCTTAGAAGTTTGATTTTTTCACAGCTCCAAGGGACAGTAGACCCGAGTATTAGATATAAATTTCAGTTACCTCCACGCGTTCCTGAGAAAAACGGTCTTGACAGACGGACGGACGGACAGACGGACAACAAAGTGATCCTAAAAGGGTTACGTTTTTTTCTTTTGAGGTACGGAACCCTAAAAATACAAAAACACGACTGCAGTTAAAAAATGGTACTATATACAGGCTGTTTGGAAGATGAGTGCAATGCTTTAAAGGAAAGCTAACAGAGAACTTTCAGAAAAATTTAAGCCACACTTGTCTTAGACGAAGTCTGACCATTTATTTTTAATAATTTTTAACGATTTTAAAGACTCTTACTTGCCTGGAAAGGATAAGTCCTTAGCCAGCTAGCCAGCTAGGATACATAAACTGTTAAAATTGAAATAACAGCAATGTCAAAATGTCAATTAAAAAGTCTTATAATTATTACTCAGGTACTTATTATTATTAACATAGGTATCATTTTTACTTATTAATATAGGTATCATTTGAAAGGTCCTAATGATACCATATCAAATATATATATATACAGGTTGTTTGGAAGATGAGTGCAAAGCTTTAAAGGAAAGCTAACAGAGACCATTTAGAAACATTTGAGTCATACTTGTCTTAGACGAAGTGTGACATTTTATTTTTAATATTTTTTAACGATTTTAAAGAAAAAAACCTAAAAGTACACACAGTTAGTTCCAAATAATGGCTAACTGAAATAATAAATGAATTCTTTTTGATTTTATTTGATAAAACAAATGTGAAAGCAAACTAAGACAAAATGTTTAAAATATCTGTATTAGCAAAAATTTTTTACAGATATTTAAAATTATCGTAAATATTTAAA